TAGACCAGCTAGACAACAGTGATAGTAAATTAGAACTACTTGCAGAATTGAGTGATATGATTCGTGGGGAAAATTCAGACACTGAAAACGATTTTGCGACTTTGCTCAGTGATGTGCTATATTTCAAATTTCAGTGTTTTTGGGGGATTATATTATTGAATTAAATGTATTATTATATTTTGCGATTTTTTATGATCATTTATTAAATTATATATGATTTCGTGTTTCAAGTTTTTCCTACCCGGGATGTTTACTTTTGCTCAACAGATTTCAGTGAGTTATTCCTAAAAATTACAGCCTACAATATAAAACACCAAATTTCCATGCAAAATAATGGTACAGCTTTCAGCACCAAAAATCTGAAATAATCATACCGCCAGGGAGGTTAAGTAAGGGCAGTAGCATATACCTACTATTAATGTCCCTTTTGTTTCTTTCCCTTGAAGTTTCAACCGCAAGGATTCCACCTCTTCCCTTGCCCCATTAGTAATGTCATCCTTCATATTCACCAGAAAATCACTCATTGATCATATGTATTCCAGTTATACTACCAACACTGACTCCAGTAGCACCTTGGAAAGTTTTCTCTGATCCCTTTACCCCATCACTTAGTTTAAAAGTTCCTCCAACATTTTGGCCAGCTTCTTCCCCAACAGATCTGCACCCTCTCCACCCTCACCCTCTCCTACTATAGAGCTGTTAACCGACCGAAAAGTCAGCCCAGTTCTCCAGAAACCCAAAACCCTCCTTCCTGCACCAGTTCCTCAGTTCCCTGAGCTCCTGCATCCCTTTTGGTGTGGCTCAAGGTACAGGCAGTATTTCTGAGAATACCATTTTGAAGGTCCTTTTCTTCAATACAGCTTTTAAGTCCCTGAAACAATTTTTTAGGACCCTCTGTCTTTCTCTAACATTGTTATTGGTACCAATATGTACCATGACAGTTGGGTCCTCTACAGCCCCACCTCCCCACCCCCCCAGCCAGCCCAATCTGGCTATCCAATCTTCAACGTGCCAAACCTGAGCAACATAATTTACAATGATCATGGTCGTTTTGACAGATTCCCTATCTGTCCTTCTAATCCTTGCCTATAATCCTGCCCCCATCCTCACCAGCGCATTCATTCCCCTGGCAGCGAGGGGAGGTAATCTGTTCCAGTGATGCCACTCCTGAGCTGATATCCAACATCACTTAGGATATTTGTTGGGATGTACCAACTCAGGACTAGCCTCTCTAATGCTCTTCCCCTACATTTACTTTTAACTGTAACCCAGCTACCTACCTCTGGCTCCTGCACCTCCATTGCCCCCCCCACATTGGCCCCAGCCAGAACCTGATGGGTAAGGTCCAGACTCTTTTCGAGGTTGTTAATGCTTTGCAGTGTTGCTCTTTAGATTCAGGATCTGGGCTTCCATGGAAACAACTAGCTCAATTCTCACACAACAGTATTCACCCTCGAACAGCTCTTCAAGGAAAATATATATGGAGCAAGATGTGAAGTGGGTGGCATCACCACTGTTGTTGGACATTTTAACCACTAAGCTAATGAGGATAATCCAGAGAGAAAACAAATAATTATTTTAATTAATCTGTTATTAGATGTACTTCTTTATTTCATCTTATTCAGACCACTAATTGTTTCCTAAACTGTTTGAGTACGCCTACACATTGATTACACCGCCCCAGTGTCTTCGGTTTTTTGCTCCATCTCACTGAATACATGGCCCTTGGCATCCTCTCCTCCTGCGCTGCTCATGGCATCAGCAAGTGCCTCTCACATCCAGCCAGCAGAGCCAACAGTACTTACGGTGCCGCTCCACTGCTCCTCACACACAGTTTTTAGTCTCTCTCCCCACCCGCTCTAAAGCCAGTACTCACAATGTCACCAGGTCACAGTACCCCAGTACTCAATACCCAAGTACTCACAGTGCCCCCAGGTCCACAATACTGCAGTACTCACAGTGCCCCAAGTCACAATACCTCTGTATTCAGAGTGTCCCAGATCACAGTACCCCAGTACTCAATACCGCAGTACCCACAATGCCCCCCCCCAAAGGTCACAGTACTCTAGTACTCACTGTATCCTCAGGTCACAGTACTCCAGTATTCAAGTGCCTCACCTCAACGCTCATCACAAGGGGGATCCCTGATTCACACTGCTGTCACTCTGCTTTGCCTGTTCCCTGTTCAACTCAACTTGCGTCAGCTCGCTGTGTCCAGCGTCAGCCCACTCAGCCTCCCACTATGTCCAGAATCAGCCAACTCAGCTTCCCACTGTGTCCAGCATCAGCCCACTCAGCCTCCCACAGTGTCCAGCGTCAGCCCACTCAGCCTCCCACCGTGTCCAGCGTCAGCCCACTCAGCCTCCCACTGTGTCCAGCATCAGCCCACTCGGCCTCCCACCGTGTCCAGCGTCAGCCCACTCAGCCTCCCACCGTGTCCAGCGTCAGCCCACTCAACCTCCCACCGTGTCCAGCGTCAGCCCACTCAGCCTCCCACCGTGTCCAGCGTCAGCCCACTGAGCCTCCCACCTTGTCCAGTGTCAGCCCACTCAGCCTCCCACCGTGTCCAGCGTCAGCCCAGTCAGCCTCCAACCATGCCCAGCGTCAGCCCACTCAGCCTCCCACCTTGTCCAGCATCAGCCCACTCAGCCTCCCACTGTGTCCAGCGTCAGCCCACTCAGCCTCTCACTGTGTTCAGCATCAACTCACTCAGCCTCTCAGTTGAAATTATTTTGCCTTGTCCCAGTGACCTCCTGTTTCCAAGAAAAGAAGTGGGGAAAATTTACCTGAACAACAAAAAAAGGAGGTCCCAACCCTATCTCACTCAATTCAAAACAATAAGAAAACATTTTGCCTGAAATTCTCATTTGTAAATTTTGTTGATTTTACATTTTTATATTTAAATGATAATTCTTTTATTTTCATATCATACATTTTTTATGTAAACTTGCAAATCTAACTTGAATAAAATATTACTGTAGTAATATTACTATAGTCTGTAAACGTGTAAACATTTTAATATAGTGTAATGCATATAGTTTGTAAACAATTACTGCATTTGGCCATATTTATTTGTTCGTTACATTTGCAGGCTTTGCTTACTGCTTTGACTATGCTTCACTGCTCCTCTTAATGTAAGTCTATGGGTCAGATCTAAGCATACTAAAAACAATAGACTGAAACAATGAAATAATCAAAATTAAATTAACAGTATTGAACTAACCTTTTGATTTATTTGTAGTTGACTACTAGCAGGAACATGTACAAATATCAATAAGAAGTATAATAATTTTAAAGAGTTCAGTTCATGTGATGCTGGCACCACCTACCCCCAATGCCACCATCTTTAAAAATCTGATATGTGCACAATTGTGAAGGTTGCTGCCTGGCCTCTGAGACCTCAGCATATCTGCACATGAACCAAGTTTTCCCATGCATGTGCAGACAACCTGATATCTGGGACCTCTATAACTGCTGCACATTTTATGCATGCTTAAAAAAAATCTAATTATGGGAGACGGAGTGGGCTTGAGCCAACTGTAAATAACTAGGGTCTTTTTGGGTGAAGGTTTGCTTTAAGAATAGAACACAAGTGAAAAAGTAGGTAGAGGACACAATTATATCTCAAAAAGGGTCTGGGCAACCAAACTGATACGAGGCAAAAATCAGCTAAACTGAATGTATTCCCTCTTGAGTAGTGATGGTCTGAACACCCCCTGCTTGGTTCACAGTAGAACATTTGAACCTAAAAACAAAGTTCTGCCACGAACATCGAACATAATTCAAGTCTATGGGACTTGAACTTGTAAATTCAAAAATGCCCATTTTGAAGTCTTATATGCAAGTTATTGGCCATAAAAGAGGGATGGGGACTGCCCTGAGAGACATGAAAACATGTTTTTTAAAAAGTATCGTTTTTAAAGGGGTAGTCATTTTGCACTGCTTAAAAGTAAAATAAAAAATTGAAAAATTCCTTTAAATATCATAATATCATGCCTGCAATGCCAAAAAAAAGTGTGCCCCCCCCCCCCTAATTTCTACCAGACCCTTTAGGTCTGGTAGGAAGGTTAGGAGGGACCCCACAGTAATTTTTTTTTAAAGTGTGTGGGGTTCCCTCTAATAGCCATACCAGACCTTTTAGGCCTGGTATGACTTTTAAGGGGAAACCCACCTCCCAAAATATTTTAAAGAAAAGCCCCCCCCCCAAAAAAAAATAATGGTTCCAGCATTGTAATGCATCATCAATCATGGCATCCAGTGTTGTCACGATGATGCCGACTCGCCGAAATGAAAAAAAACCCTGACACCCATCAACCGAGAATTCGCCACTATCTGACATTTCTGAGTCAGAGGAAAACAATTGGGCGGAGCTAGAGGTGACATCACCCCTAGCTCCGGCCAATTGTGTGCGTCTGTCCGGCAACTGTCATCCACAATTGGGCAGAGCTAGCAGTGAGGTCACGTCACCACTAGCTCTACTGAATTGCCGTGACCCATGATTGGCCAAAGTCACTGACACTTTAGGCAATTATGGGTCTTAATGTGAACTCAGCGAAACACACGAACATCCAATGTTCAACTTGAATATATAGGCCATCCCTACTCTTGAGAAGAAGTGGTTAAGGGGAGATATGATCACCATATATAAATACATAAATGGTCCATACAGTGAAATTAATGTACTCATTTTCAGGTGATTACAGAGGACAGGGGGGCAATTTTTACATCTGGAGGAAAAGAGATTTCAAGTGTTACTAAACCCAGGACCCTGCATCCACTATATCTGGTCTCCTACAGTACACAGAACATGGAAGTGCAATTATTTTAGTAAATATACACTGCTAAATACCTTTTCTCATCAACAGTTAGAACAGTCTTGTGACTACTATCAGTGTCCAGCCCAGCACTAGCTAAAGCTTGTAGAAGGAGTTTTTTTTCTGCTCTAGGAGGATGTAGAACCCCTGGCCTCTTTCTGGACAGTGCTGACTAGCCCTGTGCTGATCACATGCACTCTCCGAAAAAAAAAAAAAAACCCTCTAGCAACATATACCAAACTGAGCATGTGCATGCCTACAGTTCAGTCTGGAGATAAGTGGTGGTTGCTTCAATAAGGGGAGGAACAGAGAAGAAAGGATCAAACAGCCTTTTTACACAGTGCAGATGATTAACCCCTTAAGTTCCACAGTGAGCATAACAAGCATGATTTACTGCATGTACAGGCTGATTTTACTGTTGTGTTTTTAGTAACACTTTAAACCTTCACATACGGAAAGGCTTCTTCACAGTAAGAGCTATGAAAAGGTGAATGTATTACTAAGTGCAGAGAATATAACTGGATACTAGCATTTATAGGTGAAAACTCCACAGATTCTTGATCCAAGAAATATTAGATTGCTTTTGGTGGATCAGAAAGAAATTTATTTTTCCCATGCTGGAGCAAATTGGATCTTACTTTATAGATTTCTGTGCAGAAATGAAATTTATGTCCTTTTTCCCCACAAATAGAGCTTTCTTTCAGTGGCATTTGAACACCTCTGCATTTCTTATTATTTGCGCTATAAACAAAGACCAATAATTTTGAAAAAAAAAACAATATTTTTTACTTTTTGCTATAAAACATATCCAGTAAAAAAATAAAAAAAATCAAAATTTTTCCATAAATTTAGGACAAAATATATTCTGCTACATGTCTTTGCTAAAAAAAATCCCAATACATGTAAATTAATTGGTTTACGTGAAAGTTAAAGCGTTTACAAATGGCGGTATATATACTGGATTTTTACTACTAGTGTACTAGTAGTAATGGAGGCGATCAGCGACTTATAACGGGACTGCAGCGGGCATTCCGACATTGGGGGGGAACTGACTAACTGCCAATGACATCCCAATGGCACTAATTCAGTGATCAGTGCTAATAAAAGGACTGATACTGCACTAATGACACTGGGCAGGAAAGGGTAACAGCTGAGATGATCAAAGGCTTAACTGTGTGCTGTTTTACTGTGTGTGCTGTGTGTGTTTTCCTGGGGAAACATGCTGCTGTGTACTTCTCTGCTGTGCAGAGAAATACACAGCAGCATGTTATTGTTGGCAGGAGAGAGACCTGTGTTTACATACAGATCTCTCCCCTGTCATTGTTTCTCGGCGAACGCCGGGGTGCTGGCATGGAATCTCCGGCCGGGACCCGATGATCAATATCAGTAGCCACCAATGGCAGCGCACGCACTCCCTACCCGGAAATGCAAAATCACGTATATATACACATGATTTTGCGCAGCCCTGCCGCCCTGTAGCAGTATTTATGCTATAGGGTGACGGAGAAATGGTTAATTGCCTTCCTCTGGATAAACTGTGAGTATAGGATTGTGTATATGGAGGTTTTCTATTTTTTTTTTTTCTATTTGTTGAAATGGATGGATTTGTGTCTTTTTTCAACCCAACTATGTAACTACGTACTTGCTAAAAGAGCACAATAGACTATGTTATGTTTTAAGTTTAAAGGAGTGTCTCTAATAAGTAAGGATCCCGCATTTTCTAAAAGATGTATATTGCCGGGAAGTATCTTACTAGGTGAAAGGTGAAAGAATGTTCTAGTTTAAAACTGCGGGATGTGTGTTTAGGTTAACATTCATTACAACCCTTTTGCTTGGAAGGTCAATTATATGACAAGGGAAGCAGACAAGTCTTGCTGTATGTTTATGAATCCAGATCTTCTGGACAATATGTTACCAAGTCTGTACCTGTATTTCCTTGTGCTGCATAATATACATTGTGTTTAGAAATGAAGTTTCCTGCAGTAAATACTGCGCTAGGTGAATGTTATTGTACAAATATAATGTTTTTGGGTTGCTGGGAAAGGGCCAGTCTATCTCTTTGGTTGGTATCATATAACTTGCTATACACAAAAACTTTCAAAGATGTACAGATGAATGACAGATACTGGCATTAAAACATTTAGGAATATATACCACCTTATCAGTCATTCTTCACCAACCAAATAGTGCATTCACCTTTACGCAGATATGACTAACTGTCACTATACTATACACTTAAGCTATAAACACATAAACCATGACTTTAACAACATCTAATGCCTTCAATGCTCGAATCTTCATATCACCTCATCATTAAGAATTGCTGATACTCAAGACGAGACGACATACACCTTCAGTGATGTACCTACTGTATTTTTCGCTCCCTAAGATGCACCTGACCATAAGACACACCTAGGTTTGAGAGGCGAAAAACAAAAAAAAAAAAATATTCTGAACCAATGGACTGCAGACACAGTACAGGAGATGACCTGAGACTGCAGACACAGTACAGGGGATGACCAGAGACTGCAGACACAGTACAGGGGATGACCAGAGATGCGGACACAATACAGGAGATGACCAGAGACTGCGGACACAGTACAGGGGATGACCAGAGACTGCGGACACAGTACAGGGAATGACCAGAGACTGCGGACACAGTACAGGAGATGACCAGAGACTCGCGGACACAGTACAGGGAATGACCAGAGACTGCGGACACAGTACAGGGGATGACCAAAGACTGCGGACAGTACAGTGACAGGGAATGACCAGAGACTGCGGACACAGTACAGGAGATGACCAGTGACTGCGGACACAGTACAGGAGATGACCAGAGACTGCGGACACAGTACAGGAGATGACCAGAGACTGCGGACACAGTACAGGAGATGACCAGAGACTGCAGACACAGTACAGGAGATGACCAGAGACTGCGGACACAGTACAGGGAATGACCAGAGACTGCGGACACAGTACAGGGGATGACCAAAGACTGCGGACACAGTACAGGGAATGACCAGAGACTGCGGACACAGTGCAGGGATGACCAGAGACTGCGGACACAGTACAGGGAATGACCAGAGACTGCGGACACAGTGCAGGGGATGACCAGAGACTGCGGACACAGTACAGGGGATGACCAGAGACTGCGGGACACAGTGCAGGGGATGACCAGAGACTGCGGACACAGTGCAGGGGATGACCAGAGACTGCGGACACAGTGCAGGAGATGACCAGAGACTGCGGACACAGTGCAGGAGATGACCAGAGACTGCGGACACAGTGCAGGAGATGACCAGAGACTGCGGACACAGTGCAGGAGATGACCAGAGACTGCGGACACAGTGCAGGAGATGACCAGAGACTGCAGACAGTGCAGGGAATGACCAGAGACTGCAGACAGTGCAGGGGATGACCAGAGACTGTAGACAGTGCAGGGAATGACCAGAGACTGCTGACCTTTGGGGAGGGAGGGGGAGCGGGTACCTGAATTTGACAGGTACCCGCTCCCACTTCCACGGAGTTGTCCTTCCCTCTTCTTCCCGGGCTGGCTTCTGTGACAGCCGGGTGCCCACTGCGCATGCGCAAGAAGCGCTGCGCTTTGTGAATGGCCCGGCGCCTTCTGGAACCTGTCATGTGTCCCAGAAGACACCGGATCATTCACAAAGCGCAGCACATGCGCAGTGGGCACCCGGCTGTCACAGAAGCCAGCGCGGGAAGACTGTGCAGCGCTGGAGCGAGGAACAGGTAAGGCCCTGCAGGAGAGAACAGCTGAGCGGCCGGCCCGGTGTTCTGACATGGGTGGCGGCAGAAATACCGGACCGGCCGCTTTATATTCGCTCCATAAGACGCACTGACATTTCCCCCCCTTTTTTGGGGGGAAAGAAGTGCGTCTTATGGATGCGAACAATACGGTACTTTCCTCTACGTATCCAATGGTCTGAATTGTATGCTTGATGTATTGTTCTACACCACATTGCTTTGTATTACAGTTTACACTAAGTCCCGTCTGCGAAACGGGAAGCAATATGTCATGTCTGTGTTCTGACTGTGCTTTATAGCTTTACATGCTCTATATGCTATCTTGTCTATTCTTATATTAATAAAATATTTTTGGGGAAAAAAAAAAAAACATTTAGGAATATTTTTGCTTTTACCTCATATTAGTTTCTTCAATCTAGGAATATCAAATTTGACGATATAACCTTTGACATTTTTCCTTGTTTCTATTCATCATTAGAACCTCCGTTAGGGTCTTCCACAGATCTACCAGTTCAGATTTCCTTCCTGATGGCTACTAACCTACCTTTTTGCCCACCTTCTGTGGTTGAACTCAACTTACCAGCTCTTCCTCCACATTCTATACTTGTCGATTTACCAGCCCCTCGATGACATTCCTTGTGACAAAACGTGCCGGACGGACCCTAGTGCTAACACCATCACACTCATTCAGTTGAGCAGAATAAATTTACAAGCTTGTCTCTATATGAATTGTTTGTGAGTATCTTTCTATGCATCAATAAATGTTATTTTAAATACTGCACTAAGGAGTCTCTTTGTTTCCCTTTCATGTTTGATGCGGTCTGAGTAACTCTAGCTGAGAACATTGTGGCACCAGTGTGTTGGTTTGCATATCTGAGTGTCCCTGACATATATTAAGCTCTGTTAGACATCTCAACATTAGGGGGTCTAACAATCTGGTAAGCGGTTAATGCATTTCTCTGTTGTTCACATCATTGTGTCACATTGTTTTTGTCAGGAAACTAATACAGCTAATAATGCTCATCCAACATGCACCAACACGTAGGCGCTTTTGTGTGCGCCAGTGTGCATCGGCACACATTGGCACCAAGCTGCCTATTTAAAGGAGATCCTGGTGTGTGCTAATTGCTGAATGTTCTTCAGCTCCTCATGTTCCATGTTCCTGCTTTTGCAGGCTGATCTTCTGTTGCTGACCCAGCTTGTTCCTGACCTTGCTCTGTGGATTCTGGATACTGACCTTGGCTTGCCTCTGACTATTCTGCAACTGGAACTTGCACTGGCTGCTTCTCTGGTGCTGACCTCAGCCTGCTTCCTGATCACGCTGCTATCTCATCATGTACAGTCATGGCCAAAAATATTGGCACCCCGCATTCCTGTCAGATAATGCACCAATTCACCCAAAATATAGTTGCAATTACAAATGTTCTCATGTTTATTTATTTTGTTTGTATTGGTATGACACAAAAAAAGTCAAGAAACAAAAAAACAAATCTTACACATTCCGCGCAAAACTCCAAAAATGGACTGGACAAAATTATTGGCTTCCTCAATTTAATATTTAGTAGCAGACCCCTTGGAAAAAATAACAGAAATCAATCACTTGCTGTAACGATCAACGAGTTTCTTCCACCTCTCTACTGGAATTTTGGACCACTCTTCTTTTGCCAACTGCTCCAGGTCTCTCAGATTGGAAGGCTTCCTTTTCCCAACTGCTGTTTTGAGATCTCTCCACAGGTGGTCTATATGGGATTGAGATCTGGATTTATAGCTGGCTAGTTCAGTATTCTCCAGCGTTTTTTTTGTCTTAAACCATTCCTGGGTGCTTTTTTGACATGTGTTTTTGGGTCATTGTCCTGCTGTAAGACCCATGACCTCTGATGGAGACCCAACTTTGTGACATTGGGCCCTAAATTGCACCCAAAAATTCTTTGGTAGTTTTCAGATTTCATAATGCCATGGTCATGTTAGTTTAACTTCTATAGTTGGGGAAGATACTGAGAGAGTTTAATACACTGATACACTCTCACGGCTTCAACTACCACCTCTATGCCGACGACACGCAAATCTATCTCTCGACCCCCTCGCCTCACCCCCTCAGTCTCTGCCTGAATCACAAGCCTACTGAACGACATATCAGATTGGATGTCGCTCCACTTCCTTAAACTGAACCACTCCAAAATCGAGCTCCTAGTTTTCCCCCCAGCCCGCGCACCCCCTCTACTGACTTCTCCATCACGTCCAACAATGCCACTATCAGGCCCACCCCGCAAGCCAGAGTACTTGGTGTCATTCTTGACTCTAATCTATCCTTACAGCCCCAAGTCCAATCGCTAACAAACTCATGCAGACTCCACCTCCGCAACATCGCCAAAATACGCCCATTCCTAACCCCAGAAACCACTAAGCAGCTCATCCACTCCCTCATCATATCACAACTCGATTACTGCAACTCCCTCCTCACTGGCCTGCCTCACCACAGGCTATCCCCACTTCAGTCGATCCTGAATAAGGCAGCCAGACTCATCTACCTTACCAACCGCTCCGTTTCCACCACCCTCCTCTGCCAATCCCTCCACTGGCTTCCGATTGCCCAATGGATCAAATTCAAAATGCTAACACTGACGTACAAAGCCGTCCACCATACTGCCCCCGGACTACATCACTGACCTAATATCCAAATACACCCAAAACGCACTCTCCGCTCCTCACAAGACCTCCTTCTCTCTAGTTCCCTGGTCTCTCCTCCCATGCCCGCCTCCAGGACTTCTCCTGGGCATCACCCATCTTCTGGAACTGCCTACCACAATCCATCAGACTATCACCTACTCTCCTCTCCTTTAGGCGCAGCCTGAAAACACACCTCTTCAGGGAAGCCTACCCGCCCCCTGCTAATTGCCGATCTCCTCCACTCTTCCTACCACTCCATCCCCCACAGCTTTTCCTCCTGTACCACTATCCCTCCCTCCTAGATTGTAAGCTCCAAGGAGCAGGGCCCTCGAACCCCTCGTGTATCGCATTGTATTGTTATTGTACGGCCTCATGTATTGTCTCCCTTTGTAATGTACAGCGCTGAGCAAACTGTTGGTGCTTTATAAATACTGTATAATAATAATAATCATAAAAGACCAAATAAATGTATTCTTACTGGAAAAAAATATTTTAAGCAACAGACAGCATGGATTCATGAAAGACAGAAGTTGTGAAACAAATTTGATTTCTTTTTATGAGGAGGTGAGAAAAACCTTGGACAGAGGGTGGCGGTGGACGTGGTATACTTGGATTTATCAAAAGCATTTGACACAGTTCCCCCACACACTGCTAATATGTAAAAGATCGTATTCAGAGAGTAATGGTTAATGATTCATACTCTGAATGGTCTAGGGTTGTCATTGGTGTACCCCGAGGTTCAGTGTTGAGACCCTTACTTTTTAATATATTTATAAGCGATATAGGGTCTGGGATTAAAAATACAATTTTAGTCTTTGCAAAACAGAGCTCATACTATTCCCCTCCAGTCTGTGCACCCTCCCCTGACTTCTTAATCAAGATCAATAATACAACCATCAGTCCCTCCCCTCATGCCAGGGTACTAGGTGTAATCCTAGACTCCCATCTGTCCTTTCAGCCCCAAATCCAATCACTGTCCAAATCTTGTAGACTTCAACTCCTCAACAACTCCAAGATATGTGCTTTGTTAACTCTCGCCTTGACTATTGTAACTCCCTAATCGCTGGCCTACCTAGTCGCAGGCTATCCCCGCTTCAGTCTATCATGAATGCTGCTGCCAGACTCATCCACCTTACTAACCATTCCTTATTTGCCATCCCTCTCTGCCAATCCCTCCACTTGCTTCCCATTGCCCAATGAATAAAATTCAAAACATAAACAATAACATATAAAGCCATTTATAACTTTGCCTCAAATTACATCACCAATCTTGTCATCAAATATCACTCAAACTGTCCTCTCCGCTCCTTGCACAACCTCCTGATCTCTAGCTCCCTTGTCTTCTCCTCCCATGCTCATCTCCAGGACTTCTCCAGAGCCTCCCCCATCCTCTGAAACTCTCTACCCCAATCTATCCGACTATCACCTACTCTGCCCACTTTTAGGTGATCTCTGAAAACCTATCTCTTCAGGGAAGCCTATCCTGCCTTCAGCTAATAACAGAATCTTCTATTCCTCCTATCAGTTCATCCCCCACAGTTATTACCTTTTGTACCACCAGCCCCTCCC